TGAGACTTACCTGAAGCCTCTCACGTACTATCCCACGTAGTTTGCTGTAATGCAGACCAACTCAGAAAATGCTGTATCTGACTGCACTCTTTGCATTCCCTGTTAGGGAAAAGTAGCTCAGTCCTGACCCTGGGAAAGCTTTTCTTCCCTAATTCCAAGCCATCTCATCTTCACACACACACACATTCTTTTAGTACACGAAGCGCAGTGTGTTTTTAGAGCCTGGGGACTTTGAGGTGAGTTTGTTTATGTTCATAAACTGGGAGTGTAGGAGGCACCTCCTGCTGCCTCTTTCATTGTGAATTGCTTCAAATAGGGTGGCAAAAGCACCCCCATCGAGTGTCTGACTGGCAAAGAGTGCAGTCAGATACAGAACGAGTAAGTCAGAGGTAAGTCAGATCACTAGGGCCACAAAAATGATCAGAGGGCTGGAGCACCTCCCCTGTGAGGACAGGCTGAGAGAGTTGGGGTTGTTCAGCCTGGGGAAGGCTCCGGGGGGACCTTATAGTGGCCTTCCAGTGCTGAAAGGGGGCTGCAGGAAAGGTGGGGAGGGACATTTTACAAAGGCACGTAGTGATAGGGCAAGGGGTAATGGCTTCAAACTAAAATAAGGTACACTCAGACTGGATATAAGGAAGAAATTTTTTACAATGAGGGTGGTGAAACACTGACACAGGCTGCCCAGAGAGGTGTCAGAAGCCCCATCCCTGGGAACATTGAAGGTCAGGTTGGACAGGGCTCTGAGTGCCTGATCCAGGTAAAGATGTCCCTGCTCACTGCAGGGGGGTTGGACTAGATGGCCTGTAAAGGACTCTTCCAACCCAAACTGTTCTACGTTTCTGTTTTAAACATTCTGCATTTTAGTAGCTGCTGCAAACTACTTTCCACAACACAACGACTTTCCTGCAAGCATGTTCCTGCAATAGGTGCAATGGAAAACCCCAGTCCATTTACTATCAGCTTAAGCACTTGAAAACAGTCTCTAATTAACTCTCGCCCTGCCTGTTCCATCTGAGCATGCGTGTTAGCCTGTTTTGTAGCTCCTGCATGATGCTACTGAGAGCAACGATCACTTCTGGCAGCTGGCTTGTACTGTTACTGCTCTATCTGCTGCTTGTACTCAATCCCCATCAGCTGTTCCAGAAATATATGCTGTTTTAACAGTTCCCGGTCACTCAAAAATGCTCTCCGGATTCTTATTTTGTAAGTGTGCCAGGAAAGAGAACATTTGCCTGCAAGTGAAGAACCTCAGAAACTTATTGTAGTTGGGAGTCTGAGTGTGACCTGTGACACAGTAAAGCAAGTCTCTGGGGTCTAGTAAGTTTATCCAAACCCAGTAATAGTTTGAACGACTTCATTAATGATAACATTGAACATCTTGTTTGAAGTCTTTGCTGGCAATTAGCTAGACCAAAGAAAGGGATGGGAAGTGGATACACATATAAACCCATTTTCTGTAAAATAAATACATAAATGGCCTCAACTGCAGAGAAGAGATTATCCGTTATGGCTCATGTACGCAATCTGTCTCCTGTGAGTCAAGAAACTGGTGTTTAGCTTGGGAGTCCAACTCCAAATTCTTCACCGTAAACACTGGGCGAGCACTCATCAAGCTTCCTGAAAGGGACGAACCTCACTAATCCACAAACTCTAGCGCTCATTCAAAGCAGCAAACATGGAGTTGGAGCAAGCAAGGGGAAACAGTGATTGATTATTTTGGAGTGGCTCTGGACAAAAATGCTTACGTGAGTCAGGTGCCTACCACCCACTGATTTTGTCTGTACTTAGCAGATGTCTACATCACATGTGAAATTTGGGGTTTGGCAAGTATTTTTGTAAATTTTATACACATGCAGTAATGAAGAAGGTGAAATAAGACTAAATAAGTTATCAAAATAAAGAATCAAGTTACATTTTACCATAAATGTCTTTATTTTTGTTATTGGAGTTGTGTACTCTTTCATAAAAGGTATCAATCTAGCAAAACACTTGAATGTGAGTCAAAGTCACTGAAGCTAGCAGGATTACTCGCATGGTGAGAATTAAGCACGAACGTGAATGGCAGAGATTAGGTGCTACTGCATACAGTCAATTAATTTGCAATAGGTTTCCCAAAAATCCTAAAATAGCCTACAATATGCAAGACCACACTGTGTTTTCATGGTAAATTGGCACATTTGGACAATAAGCACTTTTGACACTCTTTGCCTGGGGTCATGGTGAACACTACGGGCTTCAGAGGAGCTGGATTCTCATTGTGTGAGATCTGCTCCTCCTAGGAGATACAGCTGTGAAAACTACACCTGTGCTTTTTCTGCAATGAACAGAGAAGCAAATTTTCAGATCTTAGCCTTACAGTAACAGCTTCTAGGAGGAAGTTAGCAATTGAATCCATATGGTTTTGATAATCTTAGAGAAAATTGATTTAAGAAAATTGTAAGGCATTATCCTGCAGTAGTCATCATCAGTGATGACCAGATCTAATCTCAGTTTAGGTCTTAATGCAGTCAGTAGGATGTATTATAGTGGATTAACATTTGTATAAAAGGCATACACAAGTCAAGTACAAGTATTGCTAAATTAATTCCTCATACAAAGTATACGAATAATGCACTGTAAACAACTGCTTCTCATAAGTGCTTCAGTTTCCAGGCTTTAATAGTAGCTTGTCATCTTTGGTTAACGCAAGATTTTTTCTGTCCTCAGGAGATCCACTACAACAGCTGAACTTTTACAAGCTGAGTCCTTGCTCGATTACCCGATTCCATACACTTTGAAGAGCACAGGTTTTGTTCAACCAGATCAATGTGTAAACCAAAACAACCAAGTGAACTGTATTTTTTATGTTGCTGACATACAAACATGTGCATATATATATATATATATATACACGTGCACATATATATTTATCCACATATGTGAGCACCCCCCCCTCGCTCTGCCCCAGGGAGCACCTAGGCCAACAGATGCAGTCACCATCTGCCACAAGGCCATCCAACAGGAACGCATACCAACATCTGGGGGCTGTTTAAACACACACAGACACACACAACTATGGATTTCTAAAGTGAGCACAAGAATTGTTTCGATCACGACTGAATATGGTAGAGAGAAGGAAAGTCCCATGACTCTCCAATAAATAGAATCAGTTGCACGGGCACAGTCCCTTCACTTTGAACGTATCTGGTCCTCCCCATGCTGCTGCAACTGTGGTCTCAACATCTCTGCCTCGAGCATCACTATCCGTTTCATCACGTGGCAGTGTAATCTGAAAATCTACCGGCTAGTCTCAAAAGCCAAACCAGTTTCTGATGCAAAGGTGGTCACTTAAATCCACTGTCTGTCTGCAGGTTTGAAAACTAGTCCAAAATATGCAGAAACTGAACTCTCTAACAAATTGCTCTTAATATTACTGAAAATTCAAGGGGAATTTAGGGAGAAATGGGAGGTGTGTATATAATCGCGTAAGAAAAGGAATTAATCCGCCTTTCTGCATCACAGAGAATGTTCTCTGGTACCATGCTCACTAGTACCACTTTAAAACTGTTAATAAATCATGTAAGTTGGATACCAAATGCGTCATCTAAATTCATCTGCTTGCAAGGGCAGGACTTCCCCTGACTATATTCTGTAGTGTTTTGTTTATTTATAAATGTCTCTATGAACTCCACAGGGAGACTATTTCACAGGTTCATAGCTAGAAAGCTTTTCCTGATTACTTGGCTCTGTTCCCCTTTCTTACATTATTTTGACTTCTAGCTATCGCCTGTAACTTCTTCTGTTATCACAAGTGGTAGGATGTTTTTCTTCTCTATTTTTTTGCTATCTGTAAAGGAGAGGGATGAACAAATGTGAGGAACAATGTACTTGTCAGCAATGTGCTATAGCAAGGATCTGGTTCTCAACAGTAACATTTCATGCCATTTCATGAGTGCAACCATGGCAGAGTAATAGCCATTTTCTCACGGTGGACTTACCTAATCTGTGGCTTGGCAGAAAATTTCATACTTCAGTCCTTAGAGCAAATAACTGAAATTTAGGCATGCATCAAACTGGTTTAATTCTTTACAGTTGCTGAGAAAGCACTGCTCTCATGGACTTCATTAGGAGAGCTAGGCCACCTATAAGTAGTTATATATGGATTCTGCAATCCATTTTAACCTTTGAATACTGGCACTTTTGATCAGCATCTTTTACCTTTTCTACTGTCAATCGAAAAAATCAAATCCTTGGCCGTGCTCTAGACAAAAGCTCCATATATATTCCCTCACTGAGCAGCCACAGTTACCTTACGGTATTTTTAATACCCTGTGGAGTCCTGGAAGCACCATAAACCCCTTCTGAGTCTTGGAGAAACTGCACACCTCATCTACACATCTCCCTTGTACTCATTCTGAACTCAGCCTGACCTCTGATTGACCACCAAGCCCACCTGACCTAAAGGAGACAACGTTAGGGTTGTCCTGGGGCCTTGGGCTGTTCTGGCTCTCATGCACCAGGGTTACATGGACGGATGAGACACGTGGAGGTGGCCAGGTCTTTCACAGCGTACCAGGATCCACTGCCAGGATCCATCCACAGGGGGATTTTTATCCACACAGAGTACCTTGCTATTTCTTTCCAAAGCAGGCCAGCTGAGCTGCCCCAAACCCATCCGGGACAGTTCTCCAGCAGGTGGGTGAGGTGGTAGTAAATCAGGCACACTTGTCGCCAGTGAATCTAGTATCAGTGTACTCTAGAGTAGCAGCAGACAATAAATATTCCACCCTTTGCCAAGTCCTGCAGAGTCCTGAAAACACAGGATGAAGGTACACCACCACTGAACCAATAAAACTATACTTTGGACCAGCCAGTCTCTCTTTAACTTCCTCTAAAACTTCTCAATAGAAAACAAGCCATAATCTATAACAAACAGAAAAAAATAGGACAGACTCTCTCACAAAAAATTACACGTTCACAAAATAGTTACATCATTTTCTTGTTAATCACTATATCCGTGTTTATAATTTGGTCAGGTCATCCTGTAACCAGTCTGTAATCATGGCAGCCATCTCCTTGCTGGCATCTAGCACAAAGGCGTGGCGGAGCCCTTTCTCACAAAGTCGAATGTCCCCGTCTGGAAAATCCATTTTGATCTCATCGTAGTAGTGCTGTGGACACCAGCTGTCTCCAGTTCCATAGTAAAAAATCAGCTAGAAATCAAAGCATATCAAATCATTAATTTGAAAAGTTACTGATGAAGCAACCAATATCCAAACAAAGAGCAGCACTGAATTATGTGGAAATAAGTGATGCTTCATGACCCACGATATACTGTGAGGAATGGCAAATTGGTAGGCCTCGGTTGTTTCCAAGTCTGCAGTTACGATGAAGCCAATTGAATGCTCTGTGACTCAGCTTCCTCACACGTAAAACCGTGGGACGCAACACAGGCTTAAATCTGAAAACAAGATCTGCTGATGAAAGTCTGTCTGTCTTAAGAAATTTGTGATTATGGACCAAAACATCTAGTTGTCCATGGAGCCCACCCCTAGCTAGGCAAGCTGCTGTTTTTTCCCTAGCTATTACCTGTTTTCTATGTTAGCTTTCTTGCTGTTTAAGCAAATTGCAAAATTACCAGTAAGCTTGATGCTATGTCCCAGCTGAAGGGGCTAACCATCACGGCTTTTGTCTGGCTATAAACCAAGAGAAAGTAGGAGGTTAATCCACCTTTGTGAGTAGCTCAGTCTTACGGGCATGTTAGGTGTGATCTCAAACCACCTGCCTGGCTGGGGCCTTAAGTGGAGGAGCACCTATTTTTCTTAACCTCAGTGTTAGACGTAAACTAGCCATGTTAGAATAACAGCAATTATGGTCATTCCCAGACGCAAAATGGTTTTTGCTTTGAGAATTTTATAAACGTAGAATCTTGGAATAGTTTGGGTTGGAAGGGACCTTTAAAGGTCATCTAGTCCAACCCCCTGCAGTGAGCAGGGACACCTTTAGCCAGATCAGGTTGCTCAGAGCCCCGTCCAACCTGACCTTGAACCTTTCCAGGGATGGGGCTTCTACCACCTCTCTGGGAAACCTATTCCAGTGTTTCACCAGCCTCAGCATAAAAAATTTCTTCCTTATATCTAGTTTAAAAATACTTTCCTTTAGTTTAAAACCATTACCCCTTGTCCTATCACAACAGGCCCTGCTAAAAAGCTTGCCCCCATCTTTCTTACAGGCCCCCTTTAAGTACTGGAAGGCCACAATAAGGTCTCCCTGGAGCCTTTTCCTCTCCAGGCTGAACAACCCCAACTCTCTATATCATTTTTGTGATGTGCTGCCCATGTAGAGCACAGGCACCTCCTGGAGATCAATAAGCAATGTTCTTCTGGGTTGTAATGTAGAACTAAAATTCTTCCAAAGTCCATTTTGTTTTGATCTTGCCCTAATAACCTTGTTCAATGACACACGAAGCAGGTGCTACAGGACCCACCTAAACACAAGTCATAAATTCCAGGCAAATATATTCAATGAAGTGTCTTTTCTCTCTGTTAGAAACACTGTATGTCACTCTCCCAAGTCATTTCCCCCCATTTTCATCTCAACTTTGCATGCTATAGCTATGTTTTGCAATTTCTATACAGTATTTGAAAGGAGAGTGGTTGGGAGAAAGTAAAAATCGATGAATTTAAAACTATACAGGAACAAGATTAATGATGAGGACTCTTTATACTAAAATGTTTGAATGCAGGTACCAGAAAGATGGTGATTGCTCAACATATCACACACAGAGCTTGGCCGAATTCCTTTACTCTCATTTGTTTCATATTTAATTTCTGTACTTCAGTGAATAATTGAGCAATGCTAACATAAATTAGGGGACAAGAAGTTTTCCTTTCATCACAAAAATCTTCAATTCCATCATTTTTGTAGCCATGTGGAATATAAATAAGTGCACCCACTGGGGCAGAGGTGGGCTAAGAGCCCAGACTGCATTTAACAAAACGTTAAAAGTTTTTGTCTAACTCGCTTTTCTCTTGTTGAAGCATACCCAAATGTGGACATTATTGACTCTTGGCTGTATCCAAAATATATCTTAGTTGCATAGACACCAACCCAAGTTAAACTTCTACGTATATGTAAAACATAGAACATAAACCATCCCATGTTAACAAGCATTATTAGTTTTCTTTGTCACTCACTAACTGCTGGAAACAAGGTGTGTTGTTTGCTTTAGCAGAAAATTTCTTTTGATCTTGCCTTCGATTCATAAATCACAGGATGTCACACTAGCAAAAATTCTTCAAAAAAGCCAACGTAAAATGGCCAGCTGCATTCAGGCCTTTTGAAAGCCAAACATCTGACCAAATGATGTTTTACCCTGGGCTCTGTTACCAACAGATATAAAGATTATGAAACTGAGGAAAAAAGAAACGGAGCAACTCCAGTTTAATGGAGTAGTCTTTGAAATGATTAGATATTTTGATAGGCTAGTCGTAGAGTCTCATCACACGATCATGTAGAAAAAGATGAAAAATCATTTACACTTACAAAGGTGGATAAAATACTTGGCTTAGTCTGCATGAACTGCAAAATGGGCTGTTCTCCAGGTAGGATTGTAAACTTGAGAGCTCACAGATTTGGAAATGCCTAAACAAAAGATTTATGTGCATTCTTAGCTTGCCCCTGGTACATTTGCATTATGGTTTAATCTTTCATTGCATAATCCAAAGGATCCTTGACTCATTCAATCCACTGACAGGATGACGTTCAGCTGATGAGCTGCTATTTGATAGTATTTTTCATTTTAAATTCTGTGTGTGGTCTGAGGATTTATTTACTACATCTTTCATGGTTTACAGACAGAATTTTTTTTTCTTATGTGCTTTCCTCTGGCACACACCACTACAGGATTTGCATGCTCACATTTATTAATTTAGTTTTGCAACACCTTAGTGGCCATTTTTATCTCCATTTTGCAGATGAGGAGTGCAGAAATTAATGCCAAACTACACACATTAATCTGAAAGTATGTAGTGCAGTCTGAAACACCTAGAGCTGATTTTCCAGTGCGTATAGCATTACACAGTATTGACTATGCTCAAAGGATAGCACTCCTGGACTTCATTTGCGGGTGCTCTGAAACACGGTCTATCTGTCTGTAAAACAGATTTCAAGTCTTAAATGAGATACTCAGAAAAGTGAGGACAAACTGTGACCATCTATGAAAAATATGAATGACTTCATCAACAGCCCATTCTTGCATGTGAACTTTAGGTGCATTTACTATGAAGCTACCCATTTCTACTTCATGTAGTTCCCTGTGTCCTTCAACAGGCACTTTACTGCTTCTGCCATTGAGGCAGGAGCTCTGCATCCTGCTGTCTTCCTTACACAGCTCTTTTGGTTAATGGAAGAGGAGAAAGGAAAAGTAATGTTTTAATGAAAGACCACCTCTTAATGCATACGTAAAAGGCTTCTGAATTAAGATCGGTGCTCCTAATTTTGAAATGCTTGGTAATGCAGCAATAACTGGTTTTAGCAGCGCTGGTGTATGCAGTCTGCTAGACTTCAAGGGGATAAACCAGAAAACAAGTATTTTACATGTCGCACCTATATGTACTGGCAACAGTGGTAGCACCTCTAGATCTGCTGCTTTAGGCCTCTGTCTCTTAAGGCAATGGTGTAATTGAAAGAAGGAGCACTGTCAGCTTCTGGCCAGAGGAAGATGGGGCACCTTCCTGCTGGGTGTCACACTGGGGGTGTCCAGCACAGAAAAACTTCTTTACCCCGAGGGTGGCAGAGCACTGGAACAGGCTGCCCAGGGAGGCTGTGGAGTCTCCTTCCCTGCAGATATTAAAACCCCACCCTGATGCGTTCCTGTGTGACCTGCTGTAGGTGAACCTGCTTTAGCAGCGAGGTTGAACTAGATGATCTCCAAAGGTCCCTTCTGATCTCTGCCATTCTGTGATTCTCTATTGTGGTCTTTACACGTGCGCCAGATATCCAAATTCCCCACGCAGCCAGGAAAGATATACTCAATAAAGCAATCAGTGTTTAGAAAGATTATTCAGCTGAAACAGCAGGTGTCTACTGTAAGGTGGGTGAAGCTGCACTTCAGGCTTCACTAAGAACTCAATTCCTTAAGTGCAGTTACCTACTGCCATTTGAGATGCTCTAGATATCTGATGCACCTGCATGAGACTGGCAGGTATGACAGATTTTACATGAGACCCACAACTTTCTGGCAAAACAGCTGGAGGCCAGATGGGGATATTCCACAGTGCCTAAAATTAAATCAGATGACCATCTTCAAGGGCCAAATTCCACCTTGACCTCTTCAATAGATTTCTGTCAACTCTAACGGGGTCATCTGCACCTCTAATGCCTACTGCACCTGTAGATTCCTACAAGTAAACTCACAAAGCATGATTCAGGTGTGCATACATAAATATCTGGTAGTGTTAGGTTAATGGTTTGACTCAGTGATCTTAAGGGTCTTCTCCAACCTAAACGACTCCATGATTTCATGTAACATAAGACTGACATACCAGCACATCCTGTTTGGCCTCCACTGCAGCTACAGGCAGCTCGTGCGTCTCACATGCTGGTCTTGTTTGGGCCGCTCAATTCCACACCTCATATAGCACCAGGAGCCTACCAAACAAAGGGAGCCTTTGGTTCTTCCTGCCTCTTCCTCCTCTCTGTTTACCTCTCGCTCACTAGTTCCCTCTACACTAGCACAGCACGTATCTCCTTTGGACTGGGATGAACAGCTTCCTTCTCCAAGCCAACACTTTTGACCATGAGAAAATAATGCATTTTCCCTTAAGCCTTATTTGTAGACATCGTAGAACCCTTTGCACTGAAATGAAAACTGAACAGTCAAGGTAGGATAGACACTTAAGTCATATATGCAATTAAAGTTTGGGTACATTACAAACAACTAAGAACAGTTTTATAATGGGAAGACTTGGGCAACTGTATTTGATGCTGCATTTGTTTTGTCTGCTTATTTTGTGTGCAGGTGTTAGCGTGTGCATTCTGTGTGTCTACATGCATATATCTGCAAATCTAAAACTTTAACGTACAAGTTTCTAATTAGAAACTACCAATGGAATTCAGAATTGTTTTCAAAATGCTTCCCTATTAACAGATTACACAAAAAAATCTAAAAGCACGATTGCAATTAATGTGTAGATTTTCAGTGATGCAGATG